CCGCACAACACAAACGGAATTTGAGAATTGAACATTACAATTGTTGTCAACTAATTGACCAACCGATATAAGATTAGTGGATAAATTAGGAGACACAAACAAGTATTTAACGAGGCTGAAATATCACCAACAGTACGTAATGGGTAAGGAATTACCATCGGCTTTGTGAATATGGAGGTTTCCTTTATATTTTTGGACATTAGTAAGAGGTAACACAAGTATTGGTCATGTGGTTTGAAGCACCGGAATCGAAATACCAAGGTTTAGAAGCGGAATAGTTGTTACCTAAAATCCCTAAAGCGGAAAAGGCAGAAACTATCATTTGCTGGACCATTTCGGGAGTAATAAAGGACCGACCAAGACTAGGAACATAAGTAGGGGTAGAGGACGTGGCAGCAGAACCGAAGCACTTAAAGAATCAACCGAGACATTGTAGGCTCTAATAAATTTCTTTGGAGGCTCGAATGGAGTAATTTTTGATGATATGTCCTCGCTTTCTTACAATAATTGCAGAATTTTTTAGTACAATGGGTGGCAATATGCCCAAATTCTCTGCAACTATAGCACTTGGACATTAGTTATGTCCCTACTTCCTTTAAATCTCCCTTGAGCATTATAGGCAACGGGAATTGGAGCGGAATTTTGAGCTTCGCTCCTTGACAGACTTGAGTAATAAGCCTCTGTTATTTCCTTAAAAGTTCACCGAGACAAATCTCCAAACAAGGAAGTAGATCTCTGTTCATTAAATTGGATGTGATTTCTTTAAAATCTCCCCTCAACTTTATCAAAAACTCGATCTCGCTTGTTAGTCTCATGCACACTTTGGACGACAGAGAGTGCTTTGAAAGATACACTTGCATACACAGTATCGGTGTATTCAGCCCGGAGATTCTAAAAGGAAGAGTAGAAATCTTAGATCGACATGTTGCCTTGAACGAAAGTGCCCGACTCAAGTTCCAACTCGAAACCTTCTTGCTGTGTTGTTCGGTTATAAACTTTCTTCAAGTAACCCCACATTCTTTGGAAGTTTTATAAGACTTGAGGTTGAGAAGAATGGATGGCTCGACACTTTTAAGAATCCAAGACATAATCTGAGCATCCTTCACCTCCTATTTCACATGCTTTTCTCGTCTCCTTCTCTCTATCGAGTGCAATATTCGTCCCATCAATATGACCCCATAATTCCTTTCCCTTGACAAAAATCTAGAATTGAAATTCTTAAGTCGAATGATTCTTGTCATTAATTCGAACACAAAAATGCTCAAATCGTTCAAAAGACATGATTCAAGTAAACAAAAAAAAAACGGGCTAAGATATCAAATCGGTTAATTGAAATCGAATAGCAAGATAAGAATAACCAAGAACAAGAATACTAGGATCACGAAACTAGGTAACAAGATGAAACAATGTCAAAAACCTAGCTCCGATACCATGACAAATTAAAGAGCTTTTCTAAAAAGTTTTATGAATTTCTCTGTTGACATATTTACAATATATAGATATTAAGAGTACATCAAATCCCTACAACTTAGGATCTAATTACAGCATAAAATATATACAATCAAATAAAGATCATACAACAAAAATCAAAGAATTCTCTACACATTCCTTACTTAGTATATTCTCTTAATTAATAATAATATGATAATAATGAATGAATAATAAATGAGAATGATTCTATTGACACAATCGAGGCATAGCAAGCATCTACTCGTGGCTTCCAAACAAAGAGAGAAAAATCGATAGAGAGAATTATGCTTTGACATTATCGGTTGGGACATTCATCTTTCTCTTATTGAGAATAATTGTTTCATCAATTATTTTTCAAAATTTCTATTTTTAGTTTAAAAGTGTGAACAATGCATTTATGCTAAAAACCATCGTGTTCCTTTTAAAGTCAATTTTAATAAAAGCACTAGTTTTTTTCATGTGTTCATACCGATGTGTGGGGTCCTTTCACTCCTACTCGCTTCATGACATAAATATTCTCTTTTATTGATGACCGTACTAGGGTCGATGGGTATATTTAATAAAATTTAAGAGTGATTTTTCCGTATGATTCCTCGCGTTTATAACACGATTCTCACCCAATTTAACACTAAAATTAAAGTTTTTCATTCGACAATGGTCGTGAGTTTGTGAAACAATCTCTTGCTAAGTTTATAACACAACATGGCATTCTTTTTCAAACAACTTGTGTTTACACATCCCAACAATGGCATATCGAACGTAAGAATCGCCATCTCCTCGAAGTGACTCGAGCCTTAAGTTTTACTATGCGTGTTCCAAAACGACTTTAGGCCGAAGTCTGTCATGACTCGCTGTTTTTCTTATCAATCGAATGCCTCGCTAGGATTCTTGCTTTTCAAACTCCTTTAAGGATGTTATCGAGATTTCATCCTATTCCATATGCTCTTAATATTTGTCTTAAGGTTTTTGGTTATGTATGCTATATTCATGTTCATTCTTTTCATAGAGATAAACTTGATCCCCGTGCTATCAAATCTGTTTTCCTTGGATATTCTAATTCACAAAAGGGACACAAATGTTTTTATCCTCTTACAAGAACCTATTATTTGTCGATGGATGTTCAATTTTGTGAAAATGAGTCCTATTTTTTGGCGATATATCTATGGTTCCTCTTCGGGGGAAGATTGGTAGGAAAGAAGAGGAACAACTACGGTTGAAGGAAAAACAGAAATGGACCTCGGATACATATAATATTAAGGCAAATAAGGAATTCTTAGTTTTAGATGATTCGTCTATTGAGAAAAATAAAATTGAACCGGATAAGAGAGACCTAAGAGACCAGCTTCTTTCTTTGAGAAGGGATATTTTAGGAGAAAGGAAGATATCACTGTTTTGCCTCCTAATTCTACTACCTCCCTTGATGATACTACCATGCCATCGGATGAATCTTCTAGGACCGACACCGAGGTATGTACCCATTCTTTCGAATCTCTTGAAAATTTCAATCTCAATTCTAATATTGATAAGAATAAGAGATATCCTCTTCATGAAAGAAAAACAACCTATAGATTCGGTTTTTCAAAATCCTCCAATATTGTTTACCTAATATCAAACTTTATATCCTATCACCATTTGTCTAAAACGAATTTGACATTTTCGCTTCGGTTGTCTTTTGCACCTATTCCTAGTTATTTTTAGGAAGCCCTTGAAAATCCTAAGTGGAAGGATGCTATGGTAGAAGAAATGATGGCTCTCCAAAAGAATTCTACTTGGGAAACGGTTGAGTTACTAATGGGAAAGAAGACCGTGGGGTGCGGATGGGTATACATTGTCAAATACAAGCCGGATGGGACAAGTAGAAAGATACAAGAGCGAGGCTGGTCGCAAAAGGTTATACCCAATCCTATGGTCTTGACAATCGGGAGACTTTTGCACCAATTGCCAAGATGAATATTATTCGCATCATACTATCACTTGTAGTTAATTTGGATTGGCCTTTATGACGAGTTTGATGTGAAGAATGATTTCCTTCATGGTGATCCGACAAAGGAAGTATTTATGGATCCACCCTAGGATTTACACTCGGAAGAAGGAAAGGTATGCAAACTAAAAAAGACGTTATATGGATTAAAGCAATCAACAAGGACATGGTTGGGGAGATTGAGTCATGCAATGAAGGATTATGGATTCAAGCAAGCCTTGCGCATTATACCTTGTTCTATAAACATGATCATAATGATATTACCTTGCTTCTTTTTTATGTTGATGATATGATTGTAACAGTAATAACGAGAGATGAGATTGAGAAACTTCAAAGCTATTTGACCAAAGAATTTGAGATAAAGGATTTGGGACTTCTCAAATACTTCCTAGGCATTGAAGCCTCTTAATCTAAGTAAGGCCTCTTTCTTTCCCAAAAGAAGTATACTCGGATCTCCTAGCTAAAACTCGGTAACTCGCTCGTGAGCCTATAGATACTCCCATTGAGGTAAATCATGGCCTATTTGTGTATCTTGATCAAATTCCAACAAACAAGGGGAGATATCAAAGGATAGTGGGAAAGTTGATCTATTTAACTCACATAAGGCTGGATTTAGCATATGCGATCAGCATTGTGAGTCGGTTTATGCACAATCCAAGTGTTCAACATATGAATGTTGTGAATCGAATTCTAGCTTATTTAAAATCAGCTTCGTGTAAAGGTGTGTTATTCTCCAAACATGGACATCCGGATGTTATGAGTTATACGGACACTCGATTTTACCGGTGTTGAACTCGGATAGAAAATCTACTTTCCGATATTTGTCGTTTGTTAGAGGCAACTTGGTGAGTTGGAGAAGTAAAAAACAAAATGTTGTTTCATTATCTAGTGCGAAAGCTGAATATCGTGTTATTTATCATGTAATCACTCGAACTTTCTTGGTTGAAAATTCTTTTAAAGGAACTCGGGTTTGGTTCAAAAAAACCTATGGTGCTGTTTTGTGATAACAAAGCAGCCATCGAGATTGCTAATAATCCAATGCAACATGATCGAACTAAGTATGTTGAACTTGACAGGAACTATATCAAAGATAATCTTGATTCCGGCACAATAGAGATTCCTTATGCTGGAAGCTCGGATCAGCTGGCTAACATTATGACTCATGCTATCACTAGTGGACTATTCTATACTTCGCTATCCAAGTTGGGCATGTGTGATATCTACGCCCCAACTTGAGGGGGAGAGTTAGGAGGAATGAGCTATAGTTTTTTCTATTTTCAATCTTGTATATTTCCTGTATAGCTTCCTCTTAAATTAAGAAAATCCACACAGCTGTATGTGTGATCTATTTATCATATATAGATCCTTGTATCTTGAATATATATCATTAGAATATATGAAAGAAAGACAATTCCGCATATTAACAACTAATTATCATTTTTTATTCTTGTTTTTAGTCTGCTACTCCAATACTACTTTGGTATTAATGACATTTTTGGTGATGATTTTGTTCATACCAGTTATTGCTGAAGTCTCTTGTGCAATACAAATGCATGATCTGTTGCAGAAACTTGGATGTGTTTAGAATAGGAAATTATCATTTTTATTCTCAGTTGCAACTCACTGCTAATTCTTTGGGATGTGTTTTTGAGCTTCAGGTTGCAGCTTGGGATGCAAACCTTGTAACTCCACATAAGCGCATGGGTAACACAGGCATTGGTCTGGAAAGCCTCTGTGATGGTGAGGATTCAATAAAACTTGTGCATGCACAGAATTGTTTTAGAAAAGGTGCCGTGCCTGTCAATATACTTGGATCTGTGGTTTGCTGCAAGTATAAAAAATGATTATCACAATTTTTTTGCTGTTAGATTTATGACTCTACTAACTTAAGGATGCTTCATTCATGAACTGAAGTACGCAAGTTTAATTCCATAAGGACAAGTTCATTCAATGTTTATGAAAGCAGTAAGCAGATGAAGTTTAGGCACATGGGTCGCATACCTTTTTCTATGCAAATTATTAAATGACACGTGCCTTTCCAGGAAACTTGCATGAGGTGGTGGTCGAATTGGAAGGGATGGGCGGTGGTGGAAAGTTGCAGTTAGAGGTAAGTTCTTGGAGTGAAAGAAAATTTTTAGTATGGCTTAAGAATTCTATCAAATTTCCCCCTTTTGAGTCTGTTATAAGTCTACCACCTCAACTTGGCTGGCTTATCAGGCTCTGGTTTAGATTTAAGACAATTAACAGTGGATAAATTCAAGCAGGCATGACATCTTATTTCACCTAATACTGGCTTTATTGGGAAATTTTTCATGCTTTATTATTTTTCTTTATTTATTTTAAAAAAAGGATTCTTGCATAACTTATTTGGTTTGTGGCTTCATCTATGAGTTCCAGAGTCCTTATGAAAGGAACTCCTGGTAATATCTATTTTTGGGTCCCATGCGTTGCTTGTTATTCAATGAGTTATATGAGCCTGGTGATCTTTAGTTCTAAAACATATCAGCTTTTCACATCCAAGACATTTTCATCTGGCTCAAAACAACTATCACCTTATTGGTTTACCGAGTCTGATGACAAAATGTGTTCAATTATACTAAAATTTAAAGCATCAAGTTTTGAATCACGTTCTCAATATGAATTTCAATGAAGAAGTGCCAAGTGAATCATGTTACCATCTACCATTGCATCTTTGTTTGATGGGAATTTCCCTAACATGGGTCAATGTCAGGAAGTTTTTGAATATGTGAAACTTCCAAAGCCCAAAGACTTCTTGTAGGATAGTTTACAGTCAATGGGATACTGAATCTAAATTACTTATGTAACATCGTGGAGCACTACGATTATAGTGATTTAAGCTACGTCCAAACATGGGACCAACAAAATAAGAATCATCTAGGAATTTTCCAATAGGATGGAGTCCTTCAGCCTCCTTTCAGCTATATTACATATGAAATGCCCTTCGATATGCATTCTGTGAAAACAAAAAAAGCTTTTACACTTCGGTTTGTTATATAATAAAAACACTATTCTTTTGAATTTGCATGCTTAGAGAGTTTAAAAGATGTTTTCCTGCTACTATTCTTTTTTCCTTTTCATATTTCTTCGTCTTTTGACTTCGATAACACCATTTATCGTTTAATGCATGGTGTTTCAACGTGGATAAAGGAGTGGCTACCTTAAAAGTGTACAACTAATGCTATGTGATGCTAGGAGGTCCACCAAGTTCAGGGTAAGAATGTGCCTGTTGTGTTTCATTTCATGTTAAGTTGACATTTTATTTATTACTTCTTTCTTTCAATTTATACCCTTTGTCTGGGTGTCGCCATTCAGTTAAAATAGTCTCTTATTTTGTTTCAATTTGTCCTTTAATTTCCATCCTATTGTGTGTTTGGGACCCTAGCTAATTTGGTCACATGATAATGTTGCAGAAAATCCGTCAGAACATGATACGAAGGCATCAATGTAAGAAGAGATGGGGGAGGTCCTTAGAAAGGAAACAAAGTCATTAGTGGGGAAAAAGAAAAAAATAGAGTATGGCGAAGGGCAGTTACTAAATCTACTTGTGAAATAGAGAAGGTAAATCCATTGGATGAAAGCATATTGAACAAAAAGGCGCTTCTGGGATGCCAGTTCTCTGAAATCTAATGGTCTGAGCACTGTCGCTATGACCACTGTTGTGTTTTTTTTCCTTGACTTAGTTTTATGGAAGATGATATTAATTAGAAAGTCATCAGAGTGAAGGTTTTTTCAAGCTTAAAAAAGTCCTTATGGATCATGAGCAATCTCTACAAGCTTGGTCGTAAAGGTCTAGAAAGAGTATAATAGAAGGTATTCTGGACATTAAAAAATAGAAGAGTGAGAACGGTATAAAAAGGGTCGAGACAGATGCTCTTTGAAATGATGCTTTGTTAGACTTGGGTTGGTTTTGCTATTAATTCTTGCTGACTTTGACCATCAAGTCTTGAGAAACCAATGGTTTTATATGCACGAAAGTCCCAAAGTGTAGAAATATTCCTGTCTTTCAGCATTTATTTCGTGCGGCTTATTGTTTATGTCTGCTCATACCGTGTTCTGTAATTGATCAGATTTTGTTTGATTGAACATAGTCAACTGAAAATGAGGCCATGGCTCCATGTGGTAGTTGGGTATCAACACACACTCATGTTTGTTAATCATGATGCTCTTGGCAGGTTAGACTAGTAATATCATGACATGACCCATTATAGGTTCTCAAATAGCGTGTCTAGTAACATAACTTCTCAATCTTTGTTTGATGCGTTAAATCCCAGTTTAAATGATTTCTTTGAGTCAAGTTTTGGTACATGAGATACGGGATTGTCTTGCATGCATTTGAGAGGATATTAAACTTTCTTTGAATGCATCTTTGGTTGACATGGATATATGGATCTTTACTTCGAGTAAGGTGTTGTTTATCTCTTTTGGCATTTAGGATAATTCAACGATAGTTTCTTTCGTAATTTGCAAATGCAAGTTTTTGTTAAACTTCTCTTTCCTTTTTTTTTTTCTTTAATCATTGTGGTGTGTCACTTTTCTACCAAGATTTTTTTTTTTTCGGATTTATACTTGGGAATTTTCTTTGCTCGAAGGGCTGCTTTTTGCTTGTAGTTGTACTAATCGGTGGTTATTGCTGATACAGACTGCTAGTCATTTGTTCAATGGCAATGCAGTTCAACTGTGGTCTTACAAGAAAGAAACTGTTAGTCAACTAGGTTAATAGTAAAATACTCCGTAGTAGTCAATGTTGTAATCTATTACTCAAGGTAGTTGTTACCTAAGGCAATATGTTGATATCCTCTTCGAGTATTCTCTTAGGTTTCTAATATATTTGGTGTTGGGTTAGTAGATAGATATTTTTCTCAATCTTGCTTGTTCTTCTTTTGTTTCTCTTCTTTCTTTAGTTTTACATTTTAAAATCCAAGTCTTGAAAGAATTCCTAGAATCAGAGAAACATTATTGACGGGTCTGCAATAGATAAACAAAACAAAGAAATAGTCAGAAAGCTTTTCTGTATCCTTTCTCCACATTCAGAGATTTGGCAGCCTATTCTTGGTTCTTGAAGAGGGACGTAGATTGATGCTTTCAAGTCATGTCAAGACTCCTCTCCCATGCTGAAATTTCTCAGTGGTTTAAGTCGTTGATAAAATTCTCTTTTTCTTTGAGCTTTATAGTTGCGCTTTTTAATGTGTAATCCATCTATTATTAAGGTGGACATCATTTATTTGTATTTTTATTTATATCACTTACACTTGCTACTTGTAAGGTTTCAGGTTAAATACAAAACTTTTGATGAAATTGATGATGAAAAAAGGTGGTGGAGGCTCCCATTTGTTTCAGATTTTCTTCGCAAAAATGGTTTTGAATCTGCTCTGAAAAAGGTTGTTGGCTCTGAAACTATGCCAGCACGTCAATTTGTAGAATATGCTTTTGGGCAGTTGAAGTCATTTAATGATGCATACCTTTGGAAGGATCAATTTTCAAACAGTAAGGACTCGGGCATTGCAAATTCCAACTACTCTAATGTGTTGGACATGCCTTTGCCTTCAGAGATGGAGAGTACATCAGGAGTCCCTGTGGATGACATGAATCATGATGGAGACAGTAACTTAGAATTATCCCAAGCTGATAATGATGGCTTATCTAATCGCGGTGCCACAGAAACCGGTGAAGCTATGCAATCAGATAAACAATTTTGGAAGAACTTTGCTGATGTTATCAGTGAAACTGTTGCTCAGAAACTTGGTCGCCCTGTTTCTCTGGAATTAAAGTGGGATGGATTTGACTTATTGAACAGAACTGGATTGCAGTCTCAAAAGATAGCTGAGGTGGGTTATGTTGAGTCAGGGCTTGCAATTCCAGATGGTCAGGAAGTGGACAGTGATAAAGCAAGTGCCCCACTTACCATAAGCAAGATTCAATCTTCACTTCCAGAAATAAAGAAGGCAACACAGGATTTGTTAAAGCAAACTGATTCTGTTCTAGGAGCATGGATGGTTTTGACTACTGCTGTTTCAAAATTAAATAAGGAAGAAGATATTTCAGGGAAGAGTTCTTCTAGCAGTGAAAAGCTCATTGGCTCTTTGAATGGAACTGCATTGGATGACAAGAAAGCTGAGGAAATGAGAGCACTCTTTTCTACTGCTGAAAGCGCTATGGAAGCTTGGGCAATGCTTGCTACTTCATTGGGCCATTCAAGTTTTATCAAGTCTGAATTTGAGAAGATATGCTTTTTAGACAATGCATCCACAGATACACAGGTGATCTTTTTATATCATTGACACAAACCATCTTCCTTCTGAAAATCTTGCGAATTCATTATTTGTGATGAAACACCACTAGGTTACATTTCATTTATCACTAAGTCATGGGAAGATGCAGGTGGCAATTTGGCGTGACAGTGCAAGGAAAAGATTAGTTGTTGCTTTCAGGGGCACAGAACAAGTATGTGAAACTTTATTCTTCTCTAAGTGCTGTTGGGTCACCCAGCTTCTATTTAAATTGCTTTATTTTTGTTTTCTCCAGGCAAGATGGAAGGATTTGCGAACTGATTTAATGGTAGTTCCTGCTGGGTAATGTCAAATACCTATGAACATCATGCCTTGTTCACACATACATAGAGACATGCATAGACTTGTTTGGTTCATTTTGATAGTTCTTTTCTGGTCAGTGTGTGTGTGTGACTTAGGATGCAGTTGCATTTTGTGAGAATAGCATGCTCATTAATTTGATGGACATGGATCTACGCATGTGATGAATTTCATTGATTGCAGAAAAAATTGTTTATTACTTTTAAAAGAAAGAGGCATTGTGAATGGGAGACCAAGTGATATATGAGGAAGTAATTGCATAATAATTCCATGAGTAGATGATACATACAGTTCTTATATTTTGTCAATACATAGTCAATTCATTTTGTAAATTTTATTATATTGAAGCATTTTTCTTTTTTAAAATTTTGTAATGTGGCTGTTTCAGCCAAGAGCTTTTAGAATTGAGATGCATGAATTATATTTCTTTGTCATTTTTTAAATGATTTACCATTATTATACATAAGTTCTATGCTAACCGTCATTCTACTTTTGTAGGCTAAATCCTGAACGGATTGGTGGAGATTTTAAGCAAGAAGTTCAAGTATGCAAATGATCTGCATATTTGATAATTATTTGGAATGCATCCAGTAATATGTGCAATTTCTCTCCTACTGTTGTCAATGATTATGATATACTTGATTGTGCTACAAATTTTTCAGGTTCATAGTGGTTTTTTAAGTGCTTATGATTCAGTCAGGATTCGGATCATCTCTATCATTAAACTATTAATTGGCGACACGTAAGTCGAGCTTTTAATACTCTTTAACCAGCTCATGCTTCTCTTTCAAAATGCTAAAGCATCTTCTAGGGCAATGAACAATGTTATATCATGCTTAAGATATGAGCATGAACACATTTTTAAGGGCTAATATAGGCTGACTAAACTTATTCATTTGTTTTTGTTATTTAGTGTTGATTTCACTGGGTACTTTTGCTAATTAAGATAGTCCATATGTAACTGGTGTCAGTTTTTTCTCGAGTGAACTCCTTGCCTTTAGGGATGCATTAGCATACAAGTTCGTGCATCTTTTTAGGTGCATTTAACTGTATTTTTTAATCATACAGTTTTTGGCTTGTGCACAATTAAATTATGCATTAACAGGGGAAGCTTTTCAGTATGCTTGTATGGTAAAAAACTTTTAACATATAATCTCTAACACATTCTTGACATTTTGTACCTTGTACCTCTTAAATAAATTGGTCGTCATTCTTCTTGTCTTGAAATTTTGTTTAGATTTTTGCAATATTTTGTCCCTAGCTGTGGTTTCTTTTGTTCTCTTTGATGCAGCTATTTTGATTGCACATAAAGGAATAGGTGTTGCCTTTTCTTTTCTCTCATTACGTTGAAAGCAGAGTAATATTTAAAATATCTTTGCAAATTTCTATAGATTTGTTCCTTGAAATGTTAAATCTTTGTTGGCACAGATATAATGGAGCTGAGCCACCATTTAAATGGCATGTCTATGTAACTGGTCATAGTTTGGGTGGTGCATTGGCTACCCTGCTTGCTCTTGAACTTTCATCGAGTCAACTAGTAAAGTAAGTTTGTTGTCCTTTTTCATGCTAGTGCCTGGTGAGTCCATTGTGCATTGGGGCACTTTAACAAATTATGCAATTACACATTGAATCCGACTTTGGTGGTTTTAGGCATGGTGCAATTTCTGTGACTATGTATAACTTTGGATCTCCTAGAGTTGGTAACAAAAAATTTGCAGAAGTTTATAATCAGGTAACCATAAATCTTTTATTTGTAATTAAATTTGTTTTCAGTCACAAGAATGCTATTCTCCCTTTTCCTATTGGCACAACTTGAAGTCAATTCCTGATGGCGGTGCACTTTTTTCCTTATAATTCACAAAAGGGTATGTTGCTTGCTTGCTTGTACACGACACTCGTTCAAGTTTCTTAAAAGCAGCAACTGGTTCCTTCTGTCAAAAGTTTATTTTTGCAGAGTTCTTTGATCAATCAGACGTATTTACTACAATTTGATCTTTGGTGCACGTCTTTCCTTTTTTTTCTGGTTCTATGAAAGGATATGATTTGTTTTATTTAAAAATTATCATATCCTTGTAGTTTCCTTAACATATTGAAAGGAAACTGTTTTTCTTCTTTCACTTGGATGTTTTGGTTAATGTTTGAACCAACCATGCTTACATTTGCAGAAAGTTAAAGATAGCTGGAGGGTCGTGAACCACAGAGACATCGTACCTACTGTTCCTCGCTTGATGGGTTATTGCCATGTAGCTCAACCTGTGTATCTAGCAGCTGGAGAACTAGAAGATGCTTTGGTGGGTCATCTCTTTTTTTTTTTTTTTTAACACTTTCCCTGAAAGCATATAGAAGTTGCTGCATGCTGTGAACTTAACCTCTGGTCTCTGGATATGCCTTTTATGTATGCTATATTAAGCGTTATCTTCCATAATGAAATAGATGGCATCCTCTTTAAATTCAAGATTTGGTTGTTGAATACCAATTCCCATCATTGGACCTAATTCATCTGAGACTGAATTTGTCGTAGGTATACTAATTTGAGTTTTTCAGTAACTTAACTTCCCTTGTGTGTGTGAGAACTTTCTGCAGCTTTACCATTGCTGTTGCCCGACAGGCATTCTTTATAATACAGCACATTGATTGCTTCGGGCACAGAAGGGAAGCTGAATTACTGCATTCATATGAAAACTACTCATTGATTGCTTCAGTTGACATTCGTTTTCCTTGGAGAATTGATGATGCATCACAAGAAAATCTGGTTGTTGTGGTCGCTTTTAAAATGACCTTATCCATCTGTTTTATCTGGTCAGACTTTTGTAAGTTAGCTCAATCGGGATTACTGAATTTGCATGTTTGATGAATTTTATTAAATTTGTGATTTGAGTTGCCCTTCAACTCCTATTGTATACTCCTTTTGTAAGTTGTTCATCACAACTAATAAGAACATTTGGACTCGAAACTCTCTACCTAACTGCCTTAACATCTTGAGTTCTTAAATTTTTTTAAAAAAGAAACAAATATATGTAAAGGATGTTTGTGTGGTTCACAACACTAACTCTCTGACTCTGATTAACGTTACCACATGTTTCCTATGACGCACAGCACGGGAAGAGATGTGGACAACAAATGACAATTACCAGTATAAGTTATATTTCTCTTCAGAATTAGCTTATGATTACTGCTGTGTATAAGCTTAAAATGTGCTGTTCAGGTAAATTTGGAGCTTTTGAAAGATGGCTACCAAGGTGATTTCGTTGGGGAGTCCACACCAGATGTTGTTGTCAGCAAATTTGTATGTATCTTATTCTTAATCTAACGCTATTTGTTCTTTCCACATCTTAATCATTTGTATGGTTGACCCAGATGGCGAAGGTCTAGGAACAGAAATCCAGCTAACTCCCATTAACACATAGACACTGGTTGCTGTTGGAACCTACAAAAAATTATATATTATTTTTGCAATTAATTCTATCTCTATATTTTGTGTGTGCATGCAGTCTAATCCAAATTAACGGTCGTTCTATAGCTTTGGAATGCAAAATAGTGGATCCTAAATTGATCTTGTATTTCCCAAACTAACTGGTCATTAGCAAAAAGGTTCCTGGTGCATGTTGATAGGAAGAATATACCTACCAGTAAGTAGGCATATTGATCAAAGAGTTTTAGGATCATGTTAGAACAGTGATGATAATAAAGAGTTATTTCTAAAACAACATCCATGCAGACAGAATTTGGTTTCTCATGTTTATATTCATCTGAAATACCAATATGATTAGTGAGCATTGGCTGTGCAATTTTGAACAGATGAAAGGTGAGAAGGAGCTCGTTGAGAAAATATTGCAAACTGAGATAAATATATTCCGGTCAATTCGAGATGGAAGTGGGCTTATGCAGCATATGGAGGATTTCTATTACATCACACTGCTTGAGGTACATGTCTTGTTAAATGATTATTGTTATCCAGTTAACTAGAGTCTATAGTATTTTTTATTTCCTTGATGGTTACATCTTACATGTGCTAAAGGTGGCAAATTAATTTACTCTCCTGAGATCGATCCATTTACTACAAGTTGCAAGTATCTGTGTTCCTTAAAGCTTGTACATCATCAGTAGTTATCATCCTTCTCTGAATATTCAGTGTAACATTGTTGAGATATTCACTCTTTTCATGTCCTGTCCATTTATTATACTGGTAGTGTTAAGTATTCCCACAAGCTTTACATAATTACTGGTCGCCGTGCTTATTCAGATATTCATCTGTTTTTTTTTTTTTTTTTTTTGCTTCCGCCAGAATGTGAAATCAAACTACCAGACTCTCGGAAGGGTAGAAAGCAGTGGACGAGATAGCAGCAGCTCAACCAGTTAATAAGGCAGTAAGCCAGTAGCATCTGAATGCTAGCATCCAAAGCATATTCATGTACGTTCCTTTAATCAGTGCCGAATAATTCTTCTGCAGTTATCAGGCAATCTGTCTGTATGCTGCCTTTAATGGTCTACTAGTTTTATAGGAAACCCATCAAAAGAATACATGTACAAACTTAGGTGGAGGTGGGTCGGTGGGGTAGGGAATGTACAGCAAGATTTATTTCAAATTAAGATCACATATTTCCATGACAACATATCTGATTGGATGTTTGTGCAATCTCAATATCAAAATACTATTCAGCACCAACTTCTTTTTCCTGGTCTACCTTCATATCCGTTGATCCTCTTTTCATTGACGCTAATCTCCTCCCCCGGAGGTCTTAAGCAAAATGAAGTCTATTGTCCAATTGCAGAGGATGGTTGGCCATCCAATCTCTCTGAAAAAGGGAAGTAGTGTGCTTTAGTAATGCTCGATCCTTGCTCAAGTTTGACTTATAAAAATTACACAATCCATCAATATTCTAGTATATATTTTACTCGTAAAGCTAGTTATGCTTTCTAGCCTGTTTCCCTTGTAAAGCTAGTTATGCTTTTTAGCCTGTTTCCCAAGTGCCCACTTTGGTTTGCTAAGAGCAAAGCTGGATCCCTTCCTATTGCTCATGATCCTCAAGCTTTGCCGCAGAATATCTACCTCTCTTGCCCTATTTTGTTCTTCTTTCTCCACAAAGGCTAATCGTGCTTTCAGCTCCTCGATACATCCCTCCTTTGCCTTCGCTTCCATCTTTAGCTCCTCAATCATTTCTCCTTCCTCCGCTCTCCAGTACAAACCCTCTCCTGCAAAACCGAGTTGAAAGCATACATAAGTGTCATTCTTTGATTATTTTTTTCTACTGTCATAATTTCTTAATTAGCATAATAGCATGAACAATTGTGAGTACAACAATAATTCAGAGAGATACTCTAGGTCATATCATTTAATGGAAGTGATTCAATTATGGTCATGATGTTCTGTAATCTTGCATTTTGTGCCCGCGTTATTTTGTTTTGTAGTATGTGATAGCAGCAACAACTTTTTTTAAAAAGAAAACTCCTATAAATGTTATCCCAAGGAAGTGATGTGGTAAAACAGTAAACGACTTTAGATGAGAAAAGGTGTCAGCCACTTATCACTACCATATATACCGTAATAATACATTATCATCAGGAGATGCAAAAACGTAAATATGGGCCCATTCTTGGACAACTTCAATCAGCTTTTTAGGATGTTTGACAAAAGGAACTTGTGGACTGCGGAGCATGCCAATTCTCGTACCATACGCTATGCGCTAAACAGTCATTTTCCTGCTGCATTGAATAGTAAAAAAACTGCAATGTTTCAAAGGCATTGAATAAACGCACAAATAATAAATATGTGAAGATGCAGTAGATGCGTGTGTGGTCTTAATTTAGGAGTGAGTTTAAGAAGAGGATATAGTTCACCCCTCAAGAATCACTCTTCTATGGAAAATGACAATATGATATGAAATAAAGGGAATCGGCGAGGTTTGCCGGCGTCCACTAGGGATAATATGTTTGTGAATTTACAAGATTTGCCTAATGCATACAATTATGTGAAGCGTGTCTAAAATGTCGGTGTCGACGATGTTTTCTAAATAACTGTAATGGAATAAAATAATAATGATTGATTAATGAATCCAAATCTATAGTCTAATAGGCGTTAGAGAGATGTACCACGGTGAGTCTTCTGGATGAGATCATCAAGCTCGGCCTTGATGGCAAGATATAGCTTCTTCCACTTATCCACAGCCTCGTCGCGCCACACTCTCTCCTCCCTCATTTGCTCCACCAGGAAGCTAGCAGCCCCCAATAATTCTCCATCTTTTTCACTTTTCTCTCCTGCTGACCAACCTTCCATGACACTAATCCTCTCATCTTTCTCTTCCGCTACCTTTCTCAATCTCTTTACTTCCTCTTTGAGCTTCTTCCTCTCTTGCTTCCACTCTGCTTCTTTAAATGCAAAAACCATCATCTCTCTCTCATAAGCTCTGGTCTCTTTCTCTCTCTCATACATTATAGCTTTCCTTTCCTCTTGGAAAAGCATTACCTTCTCTGTCAGCCCTCTAAGACCAGCTTTCTCACATTGGTTGCTCTTTTTCTTGCCAACAAAACAATCCATAGTGTGTTTTCTTTGCCTAATTTGTTGCTCGATCGGTAATATTATAAGTTGTAGGTTTTTTTTTTCCTTATATAGTACTTTTGTTCGATAAACAAAGAGATAAAAATATGGTGGGAATTGAGATAGAGGGAAGGTGTGTGAATGACATGAATTCTTTTAGACAGAGGTTCCTCCGTCAATGAATTCTGCCTGCCAATGTCATAAAAAAACACTTTGTGACAATATTTAGAGAGGCCAGCTCTCTTTGAATTATTTGGTTGAAAGTGCCCGTGAAGAGGGGTGCCTATGTCTAATGTGCAATTTATATAAAATCAGATAAGACAGGACACGAGAACCGTATGCAAAATATAAGAGAGAGATGCTGCAGCTGGCTGGCTGGCTATTCACATGTATTATTTTCATAGATTTCAGAATCCAATTATTACCATAATTAATAATGGTACTTTAAGGTGGTCCTGAATGCATTGCACTGTAATTATATATATAGATGATTAATGTACTAAAAAATCATGAATTTTATATTTTTTAATAATTTTAGCTCGTTTTTTTAATTTTGGATAGAAAGTTCACGAACTAAGTTTCGATAACAATACTAGTACGAGATAAATTTTTTTAACTTTAATTCCAATCAAAACTAACATGACATATGATAAATCAAGACAACAGGGCTAACTTTGTCATGTAGTATTTCATGTAAGATCCACATGGCCTATTAAAAAAAATTACTCAACCTAATTAAAAAAAATCCCTAAACCCATTAAATATATATATATATATATATATATATATATATATATATATATATCCATATATATACATATCCAATTCTTCTTCTTCTTCTTCATCCCCAACCACCACCTAACCAAAATTCCTCCCCATTGCCACTTTCATTGGAAACTCACCACCACCACTATCATACTTCGCCGAAAAACACCCATCTCTTCTTCACCCTTCGGTCGAATCTCCACCATCACCCATAGTCTCCAAACTCGAAACCCTCACTCGATCACACAATCACCTCTACCACCAACGACCACCCCAATCCAACCTTTCACTCATTGTCGAATCTATCGATCTACTCCCTTTCGACGAGATCGAAAAAAGTTAAAGGCATGTCAAAGCTTATAAAGTCTTCGAACTCTTGTTGGTGGTTTTTGGAGATTTAAATGCTTACACCTGTATGAGTCTTTTAAATTTATATAGTATTTGTGAATATGTAAGAACCTATCTATTGTCTAAATTGCAAGTGATGTTGAATCTGCTTTAAATAAAGAAGAATGATTTACTACGCAATATGTATTTTGGCATTGAATTTGTGAAACAAGCACAATAACCTATTTTTAGATCTATTTTACATTTATTTTGGTTTTTTTATAACATATTGGTTTTTAGTAAAAATATGCATTCATGTTTTGCATTTGGAAACTACACTGTCTATATTGAGAGAAAACACTTTATTTGTAAAAAAAAAAAAAATCTAAATGTACTTTTGGAATCAAAATGGGAGTATTTAGGACACTAAATATCCGTAGAAGAAGTCCAAACTAATCCTAGAAAGATTGAATCGGTGTAGCGAGTAGTCGGTGCCTAAGAACCTTAAATAATTAAGGGGTTTTGGGGCCTTATTGGTGATTACATGAGATTTGTGAAGAATTATGACAAGATAGCAAAACCATTAACCGATTTACTTAAAAAATACACATTTGTATGGAATTCTTTAGTAGGTGCAACTTTTGTGGAGTTAAAGCATGTTATGGTAACAATTCCCGAGCTAGCGTTATCACGGTTGCATGAAGAGTTTATTATTAAAACTAATGCATCTAACATGGGAATAGGAGTTGTACTAACGCGAAAGGTCATCCAATTGCTTATATCAATAAACAACTCTCTCTCTTAAGCATAAATCTTTATTAGTTTATGAGAAAAAATTGGTTGCTATTCTATTTACGGTTAAAAAAGGCATTCTTATTTGGTTGATAGACATTTCATCATTCACACCGATTACCGAGTCTTAAGCACTTGTTAGATCAAAATATACATACTACTAGCCAATTTAAATGCTTAGTAAAATTAATAAGGTGTGATTACGAAATTGTCTTTAAGAAAGGGAAAGAAAATATGATGACGGATGCCTTGTCCAAAGTACAATTGGTTGCTTATAGCTAGAGAAGATCAAAAGGTCATGGAGTTCTTATCCTTCACTTGCAATAGTCGTATCACAATTACAGGATTCCCAAGTAGTTCATCCCAAGTATATATGGCGAGAATCAAGAATTATGAAGAAATGGACAATTAGTTGTAAGAAGGGATTCGACTTTACATAAGGAAATAATTTCTTATTTCCATGATTCAGATCTCAGGAGACCATTCTAGAGTTACGGTCTCTATTAAAAGGTTGATTCCATTCTTTTATTAAAAGGGATTAAATTAGAAAGTGAGGTAATTTATGAGGAACTCGTCCAACTTGTCGGAGTGTAAGTATGAGAATGTGGCTAGTCTAGGTATACTCAATCCATTGCCATTTCCACAAGCTATTTTCACGGATATCATTATGGATTTTATTAAAGGTTTGCCATTATCTCGAAGGCAAATCAACTATCTTTGTGATGGTGGATCATTTGATAAAATATGCACACTTCATGCCTTTAGCTCATCCTTATACTCGCTAGGGTTGTAGCTAAGGTCTTTATGAAAAACATTTATAAACCGTATGGGTTACCTTAGAATATTATTTCAAATTGAGATTTCATTCTTCTTAATAGATTCTAGAGAGAATTGTTGTCATATCAAAGGGTTTCACTCAATTTTTCCATCGCTTACCACCCCCAAATAAATGGACGGACGGAGGTGGTAAATAGATGTTTGCGAGACTTATCTCAAGTGTATGGCTTCCTCTCTTCTTAATGGTCGGTGTATGTGGTTCTGTCTTGTTGAATACTAGTACAATATCTCATTTCATTCATCCATTAAACAATCTCCATTTAAGGCTTTGTATGGTTACCCTCCTCCACTCCATTTGCCTTACTTACCCAATGATTACAAGGAGACAAAAGTGAATAAGTTCTTGCAAGATAACGAGACTCGTGATTACTTTGCCTAAAGACCATTTAACTAAAGCACCGGAGTGTATGAAGGGCGAGCAAATACGTAAAAGGTCGAGAGGATTTTTCAAATAGGGGATTGGGTATATTTTAAGCTACAAGCTTGTAGACAACAAATTGTAGTGCATAGAAAGAACCGAAACTATCTCTTAGGTATTATGAGCCTTATAAGATCATTGATAAGGTTAGTGAGGTTGCATATACTCTTCAACATCCTCCTAGTTCTTTAATTTATCCTACTTTTCATGTTTCGTAACTCAAATCGTTCATAACAATATCACGAGTACTAAATGAGTTACTTGTTCATAGTAATATCACAATATAAGAGTTACCTAGCTCATTGAAGTTGTCCGTAACTCTAGTAGCCATTTTGGATAGAAAAATGATGAAGCGAGGCAACCAAACTACAACCAAACTCCTCAAATAAGTGGTAGAATGGCACGTTAATAGATGCTACTTGGGAGTTTGCGTTTGATATGGCTACATGATTATCTTCTTTTAACCTTGAGGATAAGGTTGTTTATGTAGGGGAGTATTATTACTCGTTAAAATTGCTTATGTGACTATTTGGTAAGTTCAATCAATAACAAAAGAGTTGGCTATTACCCGGAAGGCTTCTCATGCAAGTCTTGTGATAAGATGATAATGCTTACGTAGCATCTCCGTTGTAGTGTCACTATGAGTTATGGAAGTGTGAGCTGGAATTTGTTAGAGATTAATTACAAGAATCAGTTAGAGAATTAGTTAGCATAGGGGAAAATTTGTTATAAAAAGAGGGAGGTTCATTTGTAATGTTTTAGACAAGAATTGTGTTTTCTCTATCCCGTTGGATTTTCTCTCTCTAGAATTTTCTTTGTTCTTATTTCTTCTCTTTCCGTATTTTCCGTGACGATGGCAAAACTCTTACAATCAATGTTAATCATTGATTCATTTCATTATTTGATTGTATTTGAAGAACTCGTTTTAATTCAAAAAATCTAATACGAGTTCATTCTTGCATCGCACTCTTCTTTTTCTTTTCTTTTTTATTACTGGAATTTGGATTGCATCAGTTGAGTTTGCTTTAAATGGAGAAGAATGATTTACTATGTAATATGTATTTTGGCTTTTAATTTGTGAAACAAGCACATTAACCTATTTTTTAAATACATCCTAAGGATGCAATTTGGCTTTCTTTCCTCTGTTACCCTTTCCGGATACAAGTTTCTACCGCTATATAAGATAGGCATACTAATTGTCTTAGCAAGCTCTTTCAAAACCAATAACATGTAGAGGGAAGGAAAAAGAATAGCTTGATACTGATAGATATCTTTTTGTTGAAGGAAACATAATAACTAACATGATTCTAGTATTTTTCTTCCAATCAAGAGTGTGCCTTTGCGCTCATCTTAGCCATTTTACCAACCAAAAAGCTTTTTTAGCTAGTTTGAGAAACAAACATGGGTACAGTGTCAACAACAACTAGATATTGCAGTCATTAAATATATATATATATATATATATATATAAGATCATGTAATTATTTTTCCTTCAACAAAAAGATATCCATCAATATCAAGCTATTCTTTTTCCTTCCCTCTACATGTTAACCGAAGCTCTTTCAAAATTGGTAAATATGTGTATGCCTGTAAATATACTAATAATATAAATAATCTCGTTTGGCTTTTCTTGGTTAGCGATTATTAATTCTTAATTATTAGCAGTTTCATACTAATTAACAACCAAAGTACTCATCTAAATTAAATAATAGAAACTGAAGCCTAAATAATTTGAATGGTTAATTAAAATATCCAAATTAAATATATGTATATTTTTTTAAATCCAAACTTGATTTGTCATCGAGTCACGAGTATCCTCAACAACCGAGAAACATATATATATACAATAGCATGCATTCAG